AAATAACGAAAAATGTCCGATCCCCGGACGGTTGATGATTTTTGCCACCATCTAAATCAAATAGTAATTTATGAAGCACATTAGGGCCGGAGGACTATGCTAAGGTAAGAGATAAGTCAGGCATTCAATTTACTATTCAATTTAGGCGGAGTGGCATTAAACAATTTTCCATCCAGGTGAGGCAAAGACAACTAAATAAACTAAAAATAAAATGTGACTTACTAGCCAACTTCGTCGACTCTGCCTCAAAGTCATATGTTTTTGTTCCAGAATCCCGATATATCACCAGTTTGAAATTGGCAGGAGCCTTTTTATTTACTTTACAGGACATCACTGATGTGATATGATATGATGACTAAGAATGTTAAAAATAGAATATTAGTGCGTGAAATAAATACGAAAAATAATGAATAAATAAATAAATAAATAAAATGACTAGATGGTATACCGTTTTCACTGATTCAAACATTGTTCTTGTTTCCGATGGCATTATATGAATATAATCACCATCAATTGCTAATACACGTTCGTGGCGTCCAACAAACATTGGTATCTTACGATTGACAGTGTATTTCTAAAGTAATTGTTTAAGTTAGAGGAAAATGCAATATAATTCGTATAAAATCATACAAACAAATTTTGTACCTTGTAAACTGACATGAATTCATTGGAAGAAAAATATAGAGGCTGAGGCGGATCGTTAAGTGTTCTTCTTCTGACAAGACTCTTAGACGCTAAAAATAATGATAATATAAGTAATAATTTCCTTCCTTATTTATATGAATTTTTCAATGATCTACCTGTCGGACTTGGTGGCGTTACTTCAGGAGCAGTTGACGTTCCATTAGTGGATTTCTCTACAAGTGCAAGCTCCTTAGCATTCCCAATGCTTTCAACTGTCTTTTCCATATTTATGTATTTATCAGTATCAGCAATTTTTAACGTATACTTGTTGATATCCAATTTGCGTTTACGACAAATCGATTCCAAAACGTCCTGAAAGGGCGTGTTAGCCAGTGCAGGCACAGTGGTCGTGTGTGCAACTTCTTCATTTGGATTAAGGGTAACTCGAACACGCAAAAATATTTGGTTGGTAAAATCAACTGCACTCCCTTTGGACGTGCTATTATTACTCATAATGCCGCCACTTTCAAGCGCAGGTTCAGTAGTCCCATTCTTGATAGGTGAGGTAGTATTTTCTTTATAAGTGGATGCCCTCAATTTATTCGAAGCCGCCTCATTTTGTTTGGCTGCATGCCGATATTTTAATAGTTAAAATTAAAAATATTAAAACAATAATAACAATAAACAATTATGAATTAACCTTGAGCTGAAGTCGCCTCGCATAAGGCAAATTGTTCAAATGAGAATTTTACTATTTTCTGCGTTCTTTCCAGAGCTTTGTAAATTTCAAAAAAATTAGTACGAAAACCTAAGCAGAGCTAAATCTAGTTAAATTTGATTAATTTTCGTCACTTACCAGGAAAATCTTCGTCAATTTCACCATCGTCTTCCACCATTCTCATATTCCACTGATAAACATTACATAATCTTTTCTCTAATAAAGGTTCCCTCTTT